ATTATTATTATTCATCTAATTCAGCTGATTGCATAGTGACCATAACAGAAACGTAATAAAATTTCATTGATTATTTGACAAGGTTACATTTGTTCATATTTCAGTGCCTTTATTTTAAATATATGCTCAGTGCCTCTGAATAATGTACATTTATGTTTTGTCACAAAAATTATTTCGTAGTTTTTCCAAGTAATAGTAATAGTTTTCCATTTCACAACAAAGCCTTTATTTAAAATACCAATGCCACCCGAAAATAATCGGAGATCCAGAGGTGTATTTAAAAGATTCTCCAATTAAAAAGCAAGATTTAGCAAGAAAGTTGAAGTAGCCTTTAATTTTCATGTCAAATTAGCAGCTCAGTTATCGCAAACAGTCTGCAAGTACTACATTTATAGACCTGTAAATTATTACTTTGAGTGTTGGCGAACAAAATACAAATCCCTTTGAAAAAGAAAATCAAGAGATTTCGAACCTTTGTTCAAGACAAAAGTAAGAAGAGCTTTTTGTTGAGTTTTCTTGTACGGCTGTTATATCTTAAAAAATAAGGAGCAATGTACTTGTAATTCTAATAACCATTGTTTGTTTCACGCATTTTGTTCAATTACTGTATTAAATAAAACTCTATTGAGTAGTTTCGTAACTATCCAGTTTAATTAAGGCAAGTATTTAAAAATGATAATTTTAAATTTGCAAAAGCAGCAGGCAAAAATTCTAAACAGTCATCTAAATATTGGTCCTTTTTCTCTGAGACATAAAATAAATTAAACCGATGTATATTTTAATCTGTTCTGAGAGAATATTTGATTTTTATAAATTAACTTTCATAATTTCATGTTGACACTTAAAACTAAGACAAAGTGAATATTGAAAACCCTGAAACCATGTTGGGAAACGTAAGCAAATTACCTTAACCTTGAACCTAACCTAACCTACTAACCTACCACGGATTTTTACCTTTAGTATAAAGTTTTTATTTCACGATAGTGTTAAGCCTCGTGAATGGCAAATTTTGTATATTAACCGGAATCTTGTTATTGAAACGTATACATTGCGCCTTCAATGAATTTGTCGTCACTGGAAAGCGATAATGCTGTAACAATCAAAAACTCAACTTTTCACTGGAGCCAAAACAAAGATTGCAAAAACGAAAAAAAATCATAACTCTGAAACGGTTCGAGTCTTTTGTGATAAAATTTTGCAAATAAACGTATAAAAAATAGGACTTCTTAACAATAAACTCGGATTTGAAATAGTCCTACTCCTAAGGACGAATGTGTGGGTTACGACAATTTGATTTTCAGATTATAACTCCAAAGAATGCTGTAACTTTCCGGTTAATTTGGTTAACACATTTTTGGTCTTTAAATGTTGACTTCTTGAAGATATACGTTTGAATACTGCTGTAAAAGTATTTTTTAAACCAAAGCAGGTAACATGAAAATGGTGTTACCTGCTTTAAGTGTAAATCACATGCAATTTACATTGCTTTTAAAATACTTATTATTAAAAAGAACCACTATTTGCGAAAAAGACTTTGGTCACCATGAGTACAATGAAACAAATCGAATTATAATATTGGAGATTTAACATAATAAAACAAAATCATTGACACTTTGTGTGCCATATTACATCGTTCTCAGAACTGATGAATTATAAATTCCTTAAATTCCATAAAAGAATAATAATCAATAAATAATCTTACTGTTTCATTTTCTGTTCTTATATTTTCTATTTTAGTTTATTGCCTTGTACCTACAAGGAAAACGATTATCTACATGTTAAAGATTTAAAATTATTACGTGTTAGTATAAATTCAATAATAATTAAACCATCCCTGTTCCTCGTAGGCACTAGGTAATGAACGAAAATAGTAAAAATATAGAAACATTTTATCATGATTATAATTTAAATTAATACCAAATTATATTCGTCCATTAAGCAGACTTCAAAATAAAAAAAATATTAAAATTAAACCTTCTAAATAGTATCATAATTCTTTGTCATATTCCATGAACTGCACCGGGGTTGTACATCATTGATATTTTCGGGTGGTAACTGGTCAATTGAAGGTTAGGTCCGGGAACTGCAACCAGATACTGCAATATTGCTCAATTTGAAAGTACACATTTTCTATGATCATTTCAGTACATACTTTGAATACATTTTTCTCAGGGTTTCTAAACGTGGGCGTCAGATCATAAACTTTTGTAGAGACTAGTTTTGAGTTTGGCGTGTTGTATATCTTTTGGTGACATGTCACGGAGCTTCTTGATGCAGTTTGTGGCATTGAATCTGGTTAAATTATTCTCGGTGGAAGATTGTTGCACATTGGATTAGATTACAATTTATTAGAACCGTCTGATGGCCGTAGTGATTTGTTATTTAAAATGCTGATAGCATAGCGTTCGTCAACAGAAAATTGTTTCTTTGTTCTCTTTTAGCTCACCTAGGCATTTTCTTCTATTTGTGACATTATTTGTGTTTTTATGTTTGCTATATGTGTAGAATATATTTTATACGTGTACCTATTTTATTATTAATTAAACTTTGTGGTATGCATGACTTGACATACCTACAGTAATTTTAACTATTGATAGTAACTATTATGACATAATCTGTGCTATTGGTTGTACAGGGTTCATGCTATCTAGACATAAGATTTTGTGATCTATGAGTTAGCTGAAAAATGATGATGGTTACTGTTATGTGAAGTGAGAAAAAACTTCATAAAAAGACGAAAACGCACTACAGGTATAAACATTTCTCTGCCTGCCCCGATGGGAGAAAGGCGAGAGGTATATGTATGTATCCAGGAAATGGCTTGTTTGCAATATTGTATCTAAATCCGTTTTAGAGTGAATAATAATCACCTAAACATATTAACATACCTACATATCACAATAACTTTGAACTTTGTAGGATTTCTCAGTCAAATAAAATCACTCTAATCATGGTGATTTGAGTAAATTTCACTATAATTTAAATGCATCGTATTTACGAGTCCCACGTAGTTCATTAATTTCTGACTCTTATGGTCTGAATAAATATATATAATATAGTTATAAAATAAAATAAGGAAAAGAAATAAAATGTTCAATAATAATTGAAAATATACTTTCGATTTTGCTATAAAAAACCTCGGACAACACACACAAGTACCCTCACTGCTGCATGCGTAGTCTCTAAAGATTGCTGTAAAGTCGCGGTGACATTAAGCGAGGGAAGGATAAAATGACGTAAGGAGAAGTTACATTTGTTTTTAAATATCGTAACACTTATTGCACTGTTAAAACTCGGACTCGGTTAAATCACATTGTTCGTACATAACAACACCCAAATAAATGCTGTAAGTGGTACTTTTAATATTAGGGTACGCAAAAATGCTGTAATCAGGGGCACTGAACAATTTTATTACGTATTCTTGATGTAACGCACATTTAGCAAAAAAACACTGGATTTTATGTAGATTAAATAGTTTTAAAATTCCTTAATCAGAAAAGAGCTTTAAAAAATTAGGCTGTCCAGAGTTTATTTTTCATTTTAGAGACATGAGACCCAGACAAATCGAAGCAGAAAAAAAATGAGAAAGAAGAAAAAATTTAACAAGAATATGCAAAAAAAGCATTTTTGCAGGTATTGTAACCCACAGCATTATCTCTTTCCAGCGACGTCATAACTTTGTTGAAGACGTATTAGCGTATCAGCCAAGTTAATGTAAGACGCTTTAAAACGTCCACGGCGGTCAAAGGGTTAATTTATCCGATTGAACCCCACTAAATCCAAATTCATGACTATGGGTTCCAAGAAACAGATTCAGGATATAGAATCACATTTGCCCCAAGTAAAGGTTTTGGGTAGATGTATTGAGTTGGTGTCGGAGGTTCAGAATTCGGGTGACATTATGGAAAGTCGACTGCGCTTTAGCCAAAGTAGTACAGAACTGTCTTTTTAAGTTAAAGATCATTTATGACATTCGTAACTTCTTAAGTCTGGACTTACGCATTCACTTATGCGAATCTCTTATACTCTCCAAACTTAATTACTGTATCACTGCCTTTGGTCCGTGTCTTTAGGCAAGAACGCATAGACTACTGCAACGAGTGCAAAATGCATGTGCACGTTTCTGTTTTTCAATACCACCTCGGAATCATGTGACACCTTTTCTAAATAAGTGTGACATGCTTGCGATGGGTGGATTAAATTGCTTCTGGCTTAAATTGCATCTGGCTGGATTTTTGTTTAATGTTGTTCAGTCTCACGTACCTTATTATTTGTATGAGAAACTCACTTGGTCATCCACGGTAAACTCTTGCTTTAAAGCAAGGTCGACAAGGGAGTTTCTGCTTGTAACCCACCGGCATAGTACCGCTGCATTTAGAGAGAGTTTCCGATACTTAGCCACTCGTTGTTACTACTATTTAACAAACAATATGTGTTATGTGAACATAATAAATAACCTGGAGTAAAGTACACAAACAGCCATTAGTAGTTTAGTATTACGTTTAGTTTGCAGGTCCCTCCAACTAAACGTGCAGGATCTATTATAACTTGTGCTGTGATCAACGATTAAACGTGAATAATAAATCGTGGCCATTACGCGAGAGCTGTCACTGTTCAGAAAGTCGCGTCAATTATGCATATTATAAGAACGAGAGGTCGGCAAGTGCTTTATTAACGCCCGCCGGGTTTAAATCAAATTGAAACACATAAACGCCCGAAATCACAGGCGGAAAATATTTACAAGTGAATATGTTGGAAATCGAGTTTTATTCGAAATTAACAATACATACATATACAAGGTGTCCAGAAAGGGTATCGGGTATTTGTAAGTTCAATGAAACAAAATTTATTTGTATGTAATAAAAAAGTTTATTGTTTATTATTAGCATATGAATTGGAGAATTATTTGGAAAAGATGATGTTATCCAAATGATGACCGTTACGTTGCTGGCACTCTTCTAAACGGAAACGAAGATTGGCGATAACACGTTGACACATAGCTATCGATATTGCTGCCATTTCTGACCTGATGTTTTGCTTTTTTGGGTTAGATTCGTCGGATTGTTTTGATAAACCTTACTTTTAAGGTATCCCCCTGCAAAATAGTCAAGCGGGCTAAGGTCGGGGCTTCTGGGAGGCCAGTTGATGTTACCCCTTCGCGAAATGACTTTATTAGGGAATAATTCGTTAACAACTTCCATTGAGTCATTTGAGGTATGGCAAGTGGCCCCATCTTGCTGGAACCACGTTCTTAAGTTGAAACCTGCAAACTCCTGCAACTCTGGGACCAAAAAAATTCGCAACATATCGCAATAACGGTCACTATTCACATTAATTGCTCGGCCTCGTTGATCTTCATGAAAATAAGGACCAATTATGCCTTTAGCAGACATAGCGGCCCAAACAACGACCTTTGGGCTATGCAGGGGTCGTTCATGCTTTCGTCTCGGATTCTCCACTGCCCAGTACCGACAATTCTGCTTATTAACATGACCATTCAGGTGAAAATTTGCTTCGTCACTGAACAGTATGTTGTTAAAGTTGTTAAATCGCTGCAGCATTTCATTCGCAAAATTCAGTCGATTAGCATAGTCCGTATCCTTCAATTCTTGAACCAATTGAATTTTATAGGCTTTTAGATGTAAGTCTTTCTTTAAAATCCAATGTAAAGACGATTTTTTGATGTTCAACGCTTGGCTTCGCTTTCGGATGGATAAAGACGAATTTTGACGAACCGACGCCTCAACTTCATCAATTGTTTCTTCATCGCGAACTGAACGAGGACGACCAGAGTTTTGAATTTTAACTGTCGCACCTGTATTCTCGAACATCCTGATCCATTTCCTAATGCTATCGTCACTTGGCGCGTGGCGTGTACGATATTCCGCACGATAGAGACGTTGAGCAGTCACTATTGAATCACCATTACGATAATACGCTCGTACGCAAAATGCGCGATGCGTCCCCGAGTACTGTTCCATCGTGACTAAAACTCCACAAAATGGCGGACCCCACGAACCCCTCCCCGCACCCTTTAGACGCCCCGTTTCGAATATGGCGCGAAAACAAATACCCGATACTCTTTCTGGACACCTTGTACAATAAAATAATTCTATTTGACTAATTTCCTCATCAAATCCCTCTAAAAAAGACTATAAAAGCGTCTTGTTGGGGGAAGAAGGGGTAAAATCAGTATGTGCGGATCCACAGGATTGCTAGAGTAATATTATACTTACTTAACTGCTTATCTTTAGCGTATAAAACAATTTAAACTATATATACATCAGACATTATCACATACGTTGCTCTGATCCTAAAGTAAGTAGCTAAAGCACGCTTGTCCCAAATACACCCAGACCCGAGACAATAGAAAGTTAGCTTTTCTATACTGACTCGACCGGAGATCGAACCCAAGACCTCGGAGATGGCGCCACCATGAAAGCCGGTGTGTAAACCACTCGATCACGGTGGTCGTCAATTTTTTATATAGGATTTCGAATAATGAAGTATATTAAATTCAATACTGTTTGAGAGTCTATACTAACCTCAGTCCGAATTCAAAATTCTCCCGTACTAATATGATTCATATTGCTTGAGTCGAGCAGCAGGGACACTGGCGTTATTACAGAATTTTTTTTTACAAACTAAGTTAAAGACATTTGAAAAATGTATATCGTTTAATAGACGTGTTCTATTCAGTTCAGTTGATATTAAAAAAATCATTGGTATATATAAAGTACCTATTGAATTACAGCAATTTTCTTGTAAAATTTCGAGATAAGTTTGTGGTTTTTTTCTATCGTGAAAACTTTTAGTTATCTTGTTTTCACACCGTATAATAATCAGTGTGTATACTCAATTTTACTATATATTCATTATAAAGTGATTGACTGAATACTTTCACTGTTATGCGGAATAAACAAAGCCATTTGGGGTAGTATACACTCTTAACGCGTATTGTATTTTCCGTCTACGATTTTGTGAAGAAATGGATTAAAACGGGGCGCTTTGGGTAAAATCTTCTGAGCAAACAACACTTGGAGTTTTCACTTGGCTTGTTTTGGTAACCTCATCCAACGGAAGAAAGGACCTACCTCCTTTACAGTCATAGTAATACAGTCGATGATTTAAGAAACAATAATAACACTACAGTTATTAATAGCAATATTATTAATTAATCATTCAGCGTCACCTAAGTACATCTAACAATCTGTACAAAAGATTTTATTGTCCAAGTTTGGCTTTAAATTATAACAAATTTAATTAAGAGTTAATTCAGGTAGCGTACTCCAGAAGTTAGTAAAAACCGCCACTTTACTGTGACCTCTAAATGTCTTTCCCTGTCTAACGAGTACTTTAGAATTTTCAAAGTCGTTAAGAATTTGATGGTGTTAGCTTATACTGGTGGAAGACTAATGGTAACCACCTAGCGTCTTTTGATTTATATCCGGACCAATTGCGTCGTAACCACCTGAGCTGACAACTTTTATTGACTATAAAAAAAGGGCACCTACATTATGATTTACTGAGGCATCGGTTACGCCTATAGGCGTAATAAGCAAAGTAACCTAGATATGCTTCTCTAGTGTCACTATAGAAGTTTTTTATATGTTATGATTTTATAGTAAAATTTTCGTAAATGTAAAGTCGTTTCTAATCTCCAATAAGACATTTGTTTAATGTGCAGTCAATACCCTATAATATCTCACCTCCTTGCCGATCATTTTAGGGGGGTAGATAAGTGTAAAGAAAAGTGTTAAACAAACATTCTTTAATCTGTAAGCCGTAAAATTCATTTTGGTATGACTTCCTTATTGCACCATTAGTGAACGATGTTTTAAGAAACTTTTGAAGCCAATTTGATCTTTATCGTAAACTTACTTAAATATAAAATACAAATTTTATCCATAAGTGCGTAAGAAGGCTCACAAAACCAAAAGGTCGGCGAGGGATTAGATATCTTAAGGCATCGACTGTACGTAATTTTAAAGTTTATTCTTGGCATCATATTGCGTACAATCAGATAGCGAGTTGCAAAAAAAATTTTTATGTTTATTGTAATGTGACATTAACGTTCATAATTTTGATAGTACTTGCTTTGTTGATATAAAACGATAATATACAACGCGCATTTATTTAGTCGAAGCCAACCTGCCCAAGATTCGCACGAAGTGCTAAGCTTCCACATTTAGGACCCTTTCAGACTGCTCCGCGCCGCGCAGTTTTGTTTGCCGCGCGGTTTGCGGAGCTGTGTTCTCTGACATTGTACCGAAATATCAGTTTGCATAAAAAACATGCACCGTATAATACACTAACAACGCTTTTACGTGCGGAGCAAACCAAGTGTTGACACAGATCTGCGTCTCAGCCACGTGGCGCGGAGCAGTGTGATAATCGCCTTACATAGCACGCGGCATTGGAGTGGAATTCCCTGTGTGCAGATTTGTTCCCTAAACGCTATGACTTGGGCCTATTCAAGGCAAGAGTAAATAGGCATTATACATATAGGTGTGCATGCTCCATCGTCGACGTCATCGTCACTTTCCATCAGGCGAGATTTACGTCAAGTGAGCACTTATTTTAACTATAAAAAAACTATAGACCTTATAAATGTTAAAGGACCTTTGTTCAATTGGGCGTTTGTTCAATAATAATTCAAGTTTTCATCTTGTAGGCCATGAAACAAGCGAGAAACTAAAACATATATAACCAAAATTCTAAAAATAATAATAATAAAGTGACAAAATTTTTATTTAAAATATTAAATGGTATAATTATGTTAACAAGACATAGAATTTAGTAACGAAAACAGCAGGAAATTAGCAGTTATTGCACTATACAACATTACATCTAATATAAAGAAATATGTTCTATATACATTGATGTATATTTCTTTGAAAAACAACTGCAATTTAAATTTATATTATCTAGAGAAGGGCAATTTAAATTCTTTAGATGCTTTTCCAAGACTCTTATCGAGTTAAAAAACTATTGATCGAGTTCACATCTCCGTCAAACGAAAGCACTTAGCTTTGATCTGCCGTACAAAGTTTTATATAAATGATCAAAATTTACTCGGCAGACTGAAGGAAAAAATGTCAAAAGAGTGACAGCACAGTGTCAGCAAAGTGATAGAGAATTTGTTACTTTTCGCTCTCAAAAATATCAAGTTAGTGTATTTAAGACTACTTACTATAGTTACCAATTTTCTTTAAGTATGTTTCTTTAGTAATATTTACTTGCAAGAGATAGTAACTAATTAGAATTAGCACGAAATTACCATTTTTGTAGTGTTAAATTCGGAGTAAGGCTGCCTTTCCACCAGAGATGTGTCAGGTAGTGAGGCGGTGAGAGGAAGTGCAGCGGCGCGGTGCGAATATAATGTGGTGAGGTGGCCACTGCCAATGTCTTAGTGTCAGTGTCATTCTTCCAGTAGCTCTAGTTTCCTACACCGTTTTGCACACATTCCTCGCCCGTACCCCTCGCATATATTCCTCGCACACATCTCTCGCACTCATCTCTCGCTATTGGTCGTATAGCTATATTTAACATTATAATGTTGTCACTTATGAATTCGCTACTGCAATTAAAAATTAACTTTAACATAAGGTGAACGCGGTGACGTGTAATATTTGAACAAGTTTTTCTTTTAAAGACGTCTGTATTAAAAATCTTGACCGTACATATATACAGTTAATATTTAAAAAAGCCACTTTACCCTTAAATTCTTTAAATTTTTGAGTCATTTACAGAAACAGGCGAAAATAACATTATTTACAGGCGAATATAATAATAAGTTATTGTAATGTTATTGAATAGGTATTTGGATTAGAGAAAATAGTGCAGAATCGGACTTTCACTGGGTATAAATTTTCTCTTAAAAGAGGGTACGATTGCATAGTACCAGCTGAATTAAGATTTGCGAGTTCTCCTTACGTCTCACTTTCATTCTTAAAAAAAAGATTGCGGCAGTGTGGGTGCGACTTACAAACGGCTGGTCTACATACGGGGACCGTTTTAATTAGCCGCCGGCACGCCAGGGTCTTTGTAATGACTAGTGAAAAATGAACATTATGATGTTTTCCTTCATACAGATAATGAAAGTGACAAATATCTTTTAATATTTTCTGAAATTTGTGAATAGATATTCATTATATTTGTCACCTAAGTACTGTGGTTCACAACAAAAAATAACGGCTACCGAATTAACATCGTTTTTTAAGGTTCGTGTAACGCAGTGTCGTCGGGGATAGCGCAATTACGCGTAACTAGAATTTGACTACGAGTCTCCATTTCGGTAATTGAGTCGCCAAATCAAATCCACGTAAATGTTGTGGTACAGGAATTTAGGTATACTAATAGGTTTACAGGAATCTATTGTTATCAGTCCGTAGACAACATAAATTAATGTTTACTGCAAAAATTAAAGACGTAACTATAGAAATAACAAAGTAATAACCGCTTAAATAAAAAAGTAAACCCTCTCCTGTGAAATTTGGTTTGGGGCAGATACGCGCTTTTTACCTAATATTACCTAGTATAGCATACGCAGATTTGCACTATCCCTGACGATACAACGATTGCAAAAGTAAGTATTTTGTTTACGTATGAAATAAAAATATTTGATATATATTTTAATTTGTGTTCTAATGTTCCAACTTAGTAGTGCCTATTCATGAAAGTTTCGGTGCACTACCACTGCACCCGGCCCTTCATAATAAGCCATGGTAACCTAATGGTTACCATGACCTAGACCTAGTGACCTACCGCCTCTCAAGCAGAAGTGTCGTGGTTTCCAATCCGAGGTCGCACCTCTGAGTACCTCGGAACTTATATGCGAAATTTAATTCGAAATTCACCATGAACTTTTCGGTGAAGGAAAACATCGTGATGAAACTTGCACGTCGAAGGAGGTTCACACCTTCTGAAATCCCAATTCGGTACGTTCGTCCTCTTTGCGTGATATACGCCTATATTGTAC